ATTGGCCATGATCTGATTGACAAGCTAGACTCCACCCCTACACTCTTAATCCTCAAGTTGACAAACGATTTATATCTACCACAAAGGCCTTCCTTCATTCTATTTGTAAGATCTAGTTCCCATTCTATGAGTCCTGTTTCCTTAGACTGTAATGCTTACAATCACAGGTTTCTGCTGTACCTGATTTGGGCAGGTTCTAGGGACTTGGGTGGTGATCATTTTCTAAAGCTGGAGGCATTATGTGGTAGTTTTCGCATCCTAGGGTATATTTATTTGTTGTGCGATGACCAGGTTGAGTTGTCTGTTTTTGCTCTCCTGTTTACATTTCCCAAAGTCGTTTGTTTTTTACTATTCCTTTTGAAGTGACCTCTCGTGAAGTCGATCTCTAATTGATCTGACGCTCGTTACAGTTGGTTTTTGATGTTTGATGTACTTAAGCAGAGTCTGTTGTTTCCCTCTCAGATTCTCTACCTCCCTCCCCTTTCTGCTCCTTAATTTTGTTTCTTTTAAACTCGCTCACTGCCATCGAGTCCATGCCGACTCAGAGCGACCCCCGTAGGACAGACAGGGTAGAGCTGTCCCTGTGGGTTTCCAAGACTGTCCCTGTTGACAGGAGTAGAAAGCTGCATCTTCCGAGGAGCTTCCGGTGACAGCCCAACATGTAACCCCTGTGCCACCAGGGCTGTCTTTCATATTAGAGGTTGGTTTGCTGAAATAGCTAATGAGTGACCGTCTGCTTGTATTTAAGAGGGATGACTAGAAGCTGGCATGAGGAACGTTTGTTAACCGATTGGCTTCCTAGGAGGAAGATGGGACAGGTCCCAGGAGCCTTTATTGGATGCTCAGCTGGTACGGAAAAGCCCCGATGGCAGAGCGGGTTATACGTTGTGCTGCTAATCGCAAGGTCGGCAGTTGGAAACAATTAGTCTCTCTGAGGGAGGAAATGAGACTTTCTACTCCCATAAAGAGTCTTGAAAATCGGTAAACAAGCGGCCATCTAGCTCAGAAGCAACAAAGCCCACATGGAACAACATATCAACCTGTGTGATCACGGGGTGTCAAACGGATCACTGAAGACAAATGGGTGCATAAGCAAATGTGAAGAAAGCTGATGGTGCCCGGCTATCAAAAAGTATAGCGTCTGGGGTCTTAAAGGCTTGAAGGTAATCAAGTGGCCATTGAGCTCAGAAGCAACAAAGCCCACATGGAAGAAGCACACCAGCCTATCCAACCACGAGGTGTCGAAGGGATCAGGTGTAAGGCATCATCAGAACAAAAAATCTTACCATAGTGAATGATGGGGGGAGTGCGGAGTGGAGATCCAAAGCACATTAGTAGGCCACTGGAGATCCCCTTGCAGAGGGGTCTCGGGGAGGAGATGAGCCAGTCAGGGTGCGATGTAACAATGATGAGAAATACAACTTTCCTCTAGTTCCTAAAGGTTTCCTCCCCGCTCCCACTACCATGACTCGAATTCTGTCTTGCAAGACTGGCTAGACCAGAGGAGGTACACTGGTACAGATAGGAACTGAAAATACAGGGAATCCAGGACGGATGAGCCCTACAGGACCAGTGGTGTGAGTGGCAAAACAGGGAGGGTAAAGGGAGAATGGATAGGAAAGAGGGAACCGATTACAGGGAACTGTGTGTGACCGCCTCCCTGGGGGACAGACAACCAAAAAGTGGATGAAGGGAGACGTCGTCGGACAGGGCAAGATATGACAAAATACCCATTTATAAACTATCAAGGGCTCATGTGGGAGGGGGGAGCGGGGAGGGAGGGGAAAAATGAGGACCTAATGTCGGGGGTTTAAATGGAGAGAAAATGTTTTGAGAAACGATGTACAAATGCGCTTTACACAATTGATGTGTGTATGGATTGGGATAACAGTTGTATGAGCCCCTAATAAAATGTTAAAAAAGAAAAATTTTTTTCAACCAAACATGAACAAAAAAAAATTTTTTAAATCCACAGGGGGCCCCTACCCTGCCCTAGAAGGTCACTTTGATTCTGAATGAGTCCCTAGCTTTGAGGGTTGTTTTTTTTTTTTCATTTAATTTTTGAGTCGAGGCCTGCACTTGTAGGTCTTTTGGGTCTCTTCTCTCGGGAAGAAGTCCGTGCATTCTGCCCGGGGAACTGCTTAGCTGCCTTCTGCCCTAGAGCTTTGCAGGAGCAGAACGGTGACTGGATCTAAAGGCAGGGGAGGGTATGCCCCCATTAGTTACCTACCTGCTCATTCTTGATCTTATTCCTTCACCACCACCACCACCCCATACCCTACCCGGCCCCCACCCCGCACACAAATCAAAACCCTCTGCAAGTCTTACTGACTGCCCCTTCAAACAAAGCAGGCGTCTGGGCAGTTTTCTCCAGCTACCATGTTAGCACCTGTATCCAAACCACCGCTAACTTGCTTCTCTCATAACAATAGTGGTTTTGCTTCACTCGGTTTCAGCTCTTGTTCCCTCTGCCCCCCCTTCTCCAGAGCAGCCACGTTTTCTTAGAACATAGACCAGATTCTGTCACTTCCATATTTCTAGAACATAAACTGGATTTTGTTGTTCCCCATATTTAGAAGTCCTCTCCGTCTCCCCTGTGCCCTGCAGAGTCTGCCATGTTTCTTCACCTGGCCCTGGCTCCTCTCACAAACCACAGGTGGAGGTTGTCTCTGTTTGCTGTGTTGTTCTCTCCTCCAAAGAGCCCTGCCAACTCCGTGCTGGGGAGCATCTCAGCACCGCCCTCTCCCCAGCCTCTGCGGTCCTACTGTAAGACAGTTGATTGTGTGGAGCCCTGCTGGCGAGGTGGATTGCACATTGGGCTGCTAATCAAAGTCGGCAGTTCGAAACCACCAGCCACTTCTCGGGAGAAAGATGAGTCTTTCTGTTTCGGGAAACAGTGATAGAGTTGGAAACCCACTGTTCTCCTGTGGGCAGTTCCACCCTTCCTGTGTGAGTCGACATTGACGCGGTGACAGCGAGTTTGTTTGTTTGGTTTTATGAATTGGCAGCATTCTAAGGACTGTGAAAGCAGTAATGAATATCAGAGAAATGGTATCCATCCTATGGAATGTACAGAGGAGACAGAAAATAAACCAGATCAATAAATGAAAATAACCCCAGCCAATGGAGGTCGAGTAAGGCCTTGCATACCAAGTTGAGGTTCTGTGGAGCTGGACGTGGGGACTCATTACAGAGGTCGGTGGGGTGGGACTGTGGCTGCCCTGAGCTTCCTGGCCTGCCTCTTGTCGGTAGGCAGGCTGGTTTGCAGGCAGCAGCTGTGTCTGCTGTCGTCTCTGGACCATCTCTAGCATCACAGGCCCGATGCTCCCCACCCCATCCAACTCTTCCAAGTTCTCTTCACTAGGAGCGGGCAGCCATTCTCAGTCATACCATGTCCTTGGCCTTTACCACGCCAAAGGAAAGGAGCGCCTGGGGGTGGGGCTGGGCTACGGGTTGGGCTGCTCACTGCAAGGGTCCGGAAGCACCAGCCACTCAGAGGGACAAAGATGAGGCTTTCTGCTCTAGTTAAGATTGACAGCCTCAGAAACGCCCAGGGGCAGGTCTCCACTGCCCTGTGGTGCCCTTGTGAGTCAGAATCGACTGGAAGGCGGTGGGTGTGGGTTTCTTCCAAAGGACAGCCACGGCAGTGTCCTCTGAGTGACTCACAAACAAATCCTGTTCCTGCTTCTCGTGGCTGTAGGAGCGAGCACACAGCATGGATGTGATTCAACCGAAAGGGTCAGATAAGGGGTTTTAAAATTTTTTAGACAGGTTCTGCAGTTTTGGTATTCTCCCAACTAATGTATTTCCACAGGATTGATATTTCAGACATGAGTGTTGATCATGGTTTTTCCGGTCTTGATTCAGATGACATGACAATGGAGACTGACATTAAGAGGAATAAGAAGAGCCTTCTAGACCAGCACGGACAGTACCCAGTGTGGATGAACCCGAGGCAGAGAAAAAAGCTGAAGGCAAAGCGAGAAAAGAAGAAGGGGAAAAACAAAGCCAAAGCCGCGAAGGCAGCGAGAGGCTTAGCCTGGTAGACTCAGAAACGTCCCTGGAACGGCAGGGCCAGGAGCTTGATGAAATCCTCTGATGGATTTCAGCTTTGACCCCCAGGCGACGATTTATTTTACCCTGAGTCTCTTCTTCCATTCGAACCTCATAGAAGTGAAGTTCACCTGGAGCACACAGTTTCCTTGTCTAAAGAAAGCTGTGCTGGCGTTTTCATTAGGGGCGGTACTACCCAGGTGTTTTCAGACGTCGGAAGTCTGTCCAGTATGAGCTCGTGCAACTTCATCATCCTCAGTAAGTGCCAAACGTCCTGACAGATTTAAGACCACTCAGACTTTGCCACAGCTATGAAGCAACAGTAATTGTAAAAGATGATGACCTGGGATCTTATGGGCAATGCTTGTTTGGACCTTAAATTTTGTTCAATCTGGAATAAAAACTATTTTGCGTGTGGCTCTTAAAAGTTTGACTTTTATCTTTAATAAACCCGTAGTAGTTTTCCTGTGGCCAACTTTAGTCTTTTTTTTTAACTGGAATGTTAACATGTGTAAGTAAACCCGTGGGCTGCTTTATTTTCGGGGATTTATACATCTCAGATGTACTAGTTTGTTGCTTTTCACTTCATGTATTTTTGTGCCTTAAGGCCTAATGTAACATTTTCCCAAGCATGTTCCTCAGAGTCACTTCCTCCACACAGTTGATGGGAAGAAGAGGTTTGCGGTCATGCCAATTGAAGAATCGCTGTAAGTATTAGCAGTTGATCTCGCAGAGAACAACTGGCTCCTGGATCCTAGTATGCCAAGGACTAGCATCCAAAGCCAAACCAAACTCAACTGCTGCCCAGTTGGTTCCGACTCATAGTGACCCTACAAGGCAGGGAAGAACTGCCCTGGTGGGGTCCCAGGCTACACCTCTATGGGAGTAGAAAGCCTCATCTTTCTCCCTGGGAGCAGCTGGTGGTTTCAAACTGCTGACCCAGCAGTTAGCAGCCCCTGGAGTAACTCACTCCACCACCAGGCCTCCGGGAAAGGGTAGTCTAATGAAATAGTTTCCAATGACATCAGTATGATTAGTTTTCTAATTGCACTAGATTTAATTAATTTTAAAATTAAGCACTCCAAATGTGGCATCGTCCCTAAAGTTTCACCGTAACCCAGTTGTTCACTGAGATAACAGATTGAGTGCTTGCTGTGCGCCAAGCACCTTTCCGGCTCCTGGGGACACGAGACAAGACAGAGTGCCCTTGTCGGTTGAACAATGGTGTGTCTGCTCAGAAGAGGGGGTGAGATTGGACAGAATGAGGTCGTGTAGCAGTTAGCATGGATGGGTGGGGTGTGATAAAGAAAGAGGACATGACCTAGATCTTTTAAGAGATTTATATCTAAATTTGAATGTCAGTAAAATCTCGAAATTGTTTGAATATAATCAACTTTCCCCAATGTACTCAATGGCTAGTTCTTAGAAAAATTATAATTTTGAAATAATTTCCTCAAAAAAGCTAAGAAAGTATGAGTTAACACAAACAAATGCCCTTCATAACCTTTTTTGGCCTTGTAGTACAGTAAAATAGAGTTTGTGAGAAAACCTGAATGGATAAATGTTTAATCATAAAACTGAAAGTTGCTAACGTCCAATTAAACGGTTGATAATATTAGCCTAAATATACTTACTAAACTTGTTATCTCTTTTCATCGCTGGAATTGACCTACATTGGTGATGTTACAGAACACATAGTTACATGTGGGCAGCATTTCTGGTGTCATCTAAATGGTTCTCCAGAGACCCCTAGTGGTGATGTGGGTTTGGTGTTCACTGCAAGATTGGTAGTTGAAACTGACCAGCTACTCCCAAGGAGAAAAATGAGGTTGGCTGCTCCCGTAAAGATGTATAGTCCCAGAAGCACAATGGGCTTGCTGTGAATTGGAACCCAATTAATGGCAGGGGGTTTGTGGGGATTTTAAGGTGATGCAAGAGACTGAGGCTAGATAAGTGTTTGCATGTTCTATGGCTTCTAGGAGCCCTGGTGGCCTAGTGGTTATTCATTGGGCTGCTAACAGGTCAGCTGTTCAAAACCACCTTCCACTCAGCAGGGAAAATGAGGCTTTCTAGTCCTGTAGAGTTACAATCTCAGAAACCCACATAGGCAGTTCTATACTGTCCTATATGGTCCCTATGAGTCAGAACTGACTCAGTTCTAAGAGTTTGGGGTGGGGCATGCTGTTTAAAAAATGATCACATCTTTTTCACACCACATTTTAAATGTAACTATATTTGTCACCGCTTTTTGACATAACAGGTGATCTGGGCACTGCATGTCCACTCACGCTTAATCTAGTGACTTTGAGCTACCTTGGCAGTAGCCTAGGTAGGCATGTAATTTTGCTACTCTAAATAATATTTCTCTTTGGAAAACAAGCCCTATGGATAACAGTCCCATTGAGTTGGCTCAGTGTAACAACACTAATTTCTAAAGGCCTACGACAGGCACCATTGGGAACTACAGGCCAGAGTGGGCTTAGAAACAAGACCGTTGAAGATGAAAGTGGAGGTGTTTTCAATAAGAGTTGTCTCTTAGGTACACACACCTCCACTCTTCATCGACGAAAATTTCAGTTTACTAAAGAATCTGCTTGATGGCAAACGCTTTAGACCACAGCATTCACGTTAGGTTACGTACACCTTGTGACAACTCACTTCAACTCATTAGGTAAGCCAAGGGGAAAGTCAAACAGATTGACTGACTCTGCTCTCAGTGCCTAAAGTCTCACAGTATCACCTATAGAAAGAGATATCTTATCCCCCCCTTAGTTACTATAGTCATGCTTTACAGATTTCTTAAATGTTAGCCAAAATCAGGGGGAAAAATTATTGAAAATAGCTTATCAGAGGGAATGCAGGGAAAGTATTCAACACATGTGTAAGCGGACGTTTAGTCATCTTCCATGCGTGACGTGTCGTCATTGCCTTCAAGAGGTGGCCTTTCTTCAGTGACAGCAGCACTGGTGTCATCAGCCGTAGGGGTATCTTCACCCACCCCCGGGCCCAACTTGGTCATCCTGTAGATCAGTTGGCGTGCGTCTGGGGCTCTTCCAGACTGAAGCCAGACGAGAGCAGCGCGGTGTCTTCGAGCAGGATCACCAGGTCCTCCACGGACTTGTTCTTGTCAGCCTCGGCGTCCTGCCATGGGTCTCGGTGATGGAGTGGTCGGGATTTAGCTCCAGGTGACTCTTGGCGGCCAGCTATCTCGCAGGGCTTGGTCCTTCAAGATACTCTCTGTGTTTGCTGTCCGTCCATAAGTGCTCGTGACAATGCAGCACGGGGATGTAACTAATCAGTTGGACACCACCATCTTTTCCACTTTTTTCTCCATGTCCTTCATGATTTTGCAGACTTTCCAACTTGGTCCTCTCCTGCTTCTCTTTCTGCTCTTCGTCTTCCGGCAGTTCCCAGCCCTCTTAGATGAGGGTCATTAAACTCTTTCCCTGCACTCCTTCAGCTGCTGGACGCAGTACTCGTCGACAGGCTCCATCATGTTGATCACGTCTAAGCTGTGCTTCCGGAGGCGCTCGACGAAGACCGAGTTAGCCACCTACCTGGTCCTTGGTTTCCCCAGTGAGGTAGCAGATAACGTTTCTGGTTCTCCCTCATCCTTGGGCAGTAGTCCTTGAGACAAACGATCTCGTGCCCTGAGGCAGACGGATCACGGCTCTTTTAACTTTAAGGATTATAAATGGATATGTATAATGTAATCCTTATATTTTCTATAGTTAGCTTGTCTTAAAAATTCAACATCCTTTTAGGTCACTGATGTTTTCCAGAGAATCGCTGTAAAACCACCAGGTGGAGCTCACGTTAAACGCAATGAGATGGAATGGGCTAAATCACCTTAGAAATTGAACATTGCAGTACGTTTTTGTTTCTAAAGAAATAAATGTCACTTATGGAAAATCAAAACTAGTCTCACTTATGGTTGCTTCAGGAGCCCTGCTTATGTAGTGGTTTCACGTTGGGCTGCTAACCTCAAGGGCAGCGGTTCGAAACAACCAGCCACTTCCACAGGAGAAACGGCTTTCAACTCCTATAAAGAGTTACAGTCTTGGAAACCCACAGGGGCAGTTTTACCTGTCATACGGGGTTGCTATGAGTCGAAATTAACTGGATTGCAGTGAGCTTGTTTGATTTTTTTTCTTTTGGTTATTGGTTGCTTATTGTATGTTACGTCTTTGTCTAAATGTTTTAATCCTAAACTTTTTCAATATTGATTCATCCAATCCATTTTGAAATCCTGTGAGTTAGGTTTAAATTATATGGATGGGGAAACAGAAGCACACAGGTCAGTTAGCAAAAAACTAGGAGAGCTGAGATTCAAACCCAAGCAGCCTAGCTTCAAAGCCTATACTCTTATAACGTTATTCTGCCTCAAGGATGAGCCAGTGCTTGCTAAGATAGAAAATTAACTTTAATATGAGATTCAGGCCATGGTGGATTGGGCTGATGCTGTAGCCAGAGGGTCAGATAAAGAGCTGGTTTTAGTAGGGGTGATTTACAGACCCTTCCTAAACTCTGTAGACCTAAACTGGCCTGGAAATCTGGAGATAGTGTTCCCCTGGGAATGGCCTGCCCCAGGCCTAATGGCAACTTTACAACCCAGGATCGATGATACTCTCACCAACAGTAGAGAAATCCAAATTGCAGGTGAAACTACAATGGAGCCAAGTAATGGAGTTAATCACATCTTTTTCTGTAATGTTACGTAGATAGACAGTCTTTCTCAGTTGTCATACTGCATGAAATAGGTAAGCTACAGTGTATTTGTGCTTGTAAGAAACTTTGGATACCTTCTAAATTTCAGTCCATATAGCTGTGGCATGACTTTTATGTTGGAAAAGAAAATAATGCGAGAAATGATTTATACCTGAAGTGGACTGGGTGTATAGAGTTTAGAATAGTGAAATGCTAGCCACAGAATAAATGTAAAGATTGAAAGCAGTCTACAGAGACCTCAGGGAGCCCCACACTTATAAATGCTATGACTGAGATACAGATGCTGGGTTGTTGGTGAAGCTTGCTTGCTAGCCTAAGAGACTAACTTCTGATGTCACCCTGCAGAGTAATGCAAATTCATGCTAGACAAAAGGCAATGTCCCGTCCCCACCATATTTGCCATCATGTAAAAGCACTGGGCAGCAGACCCCATCTCTACAAGCAGTGGAAGTGGTTGTGGCTGTTAGCGGCTGTCGAGTCAGCTAGTCAGCTCCAATGCCCAGCGGCTGCACAAAAGAACTAAGGACTGCCTGGTTTTGCACCGCCACAATTTACGCAGCATTTCAGCCCATTGTTGCAGCCACCACGTCAGTCAGTCTCATTGAGCTTGAGCGCTTCCTCTGTTTTTGCTGGCCCTCTATTTTACCAAACATGATGTCTTCTCCAGGGACTCGTCCCTCCTAGTATCATCCCAAGTACATGACATGAAATCTTACCATCTTCACCTCCTCAAAAGAGCATTGTGGT